TTTGGTTTGTGTTTCTGCCAAACTCTCATGGGGCACATTTGTTGTTGTTGCTACCGCTGCTGGTTTTGGCACTGCTGCCACAGAGAGGGCAGACAGCAACGGGGGCGACAATGTTTACGGTTACAACTGTTGTTGCTGCTGCTGCTGCTGCTGTTGGATGATGCCAAAATTGATGGCCATAATCTTCGGGGCGGCCAACAGAAACTGCTGCGTGAAGGGGGTCTGCTGCTGCTGCTGCTGCTGCTGATGATGCTGCTGAAGGGAGGAGGAGCACGGCAAAGGATGCGCTTTTTATGATGAAACGCCGTTGCAGCAGCGAGAAAACAACCACCGACCGTTGCTGCCACCACCACTGCCACCCACTCGGATATCCCATTCCACCCCTCCCCCCTTGCACGGAACATTATTCATGAGGGGGGTGTTGGCGGTGTTGGCGGAAGCCGGAGCGGAAGCATATTTTATGTTTTAACGCTGTCGAAATTGGGCAGCAGCAACAGCATACAACCCATACATCAGCATTTAGACTCTGCCCCCACCCCCTCCCTGATCCTGTAAGCAATTTATAGGAGGCGGTGGTGGGGTGGTAGAGACTTGAGGGGGAGGGGGCGGACGTATGTCTTGTGGTTTTAACGCTTGCAATTTTGTTGTTGAGTTTTTCGCCTGTCAGCAATTGTTGCTGTTTTTACCGCTCTTGGGGCCGCTTGGGCTGCTTCTTCCACTGCCAAGCTGTTCCTTTCTACTCTGCCGCTAACCCCACTCTTTCCCTTGTTCCTGCCGCTGCTGCTGCTTTTTTTATCACTTCTCCCACTGCTTTACCGACGCTGCTTCTGCTTCTGCTGCTGCTGTTATAGCCGCTTGCAATTTAGCGACTTAAGCGCGTATTTACAGCGCATTTCAAAGTGTGTTTCGTGTCCCATAAAACAAATGAATAAATAAGCTGACAGGTGCAGTAAGAGCCGCAGAGAGACAGCGACGGACATACGGACAGATATTCGGACAGACACGACACTGCAAATGACAAAAGGTGGACAAATGGAGGGAAAGGAGACGAAACTGTTAAGCTCTCTTAAGCCAAACAAATGGGAGCAGATGAATTATCGAAGATGAGTTAAACCGACAAAAGAGTTATGGAAGCAGCAGCAGCAAGATTTTAAAATCTCGCAAATATTTTACAACAGTTTTACAGTTTTTCCCCAAGTGAAGAAAAAACATTTGTTTCCATAGTTATTATAACTTTTCCAAAGAATATATATTAACTGCTTATCTACCGATCTACTGAAGATCAGATCATTTTTACAGCCAGAAGGAAGAATATTTCCAAGGCTTATATTAATTTCTATTTAAAAATTCTCTTCAACAGAATCGAAATCGAATCAAAAAAAATGCTGGCAGACAACTAATATTAACACTGAGAGATTTGAGTATTCCCAGAAAATTCATGAGGCAAATCCACACACAAGCGATCTGCCCTATCAACGATTATTTGTGCATACATATGTATGTTGTATGTGCATATCGTATATAGAGAGGCTGCTCTGCTGTTTTCATGACAGCTATGGTAATTGCCCGAAGAGCAAGACGCCTCATTGCCCCCATTGTTTTCACGCAAGCGAGGAGAGCAGTGCCAGTGCCTTCTATTCTACTGCTGCCTCATTTGGTTGCCATCAATTAAAGCAAATCGAGCGGGTCGCGTTTTGCTTAAGTTCATCAATTTTCGGTCCCTCTAAAGAGCCACAGATTTTCACTCCACGAAGCTTGGGACCTACAAATTTCTCCAAGCAAGTTGGCAGCCAAATACCCAACGCTTTTCCCATTGCCCCACGTATCCGATTGGGTTTCAATATTTGCAAGGGGCACTTCTCCACGTACCGTACTGCAGCAGCGATCGCTTGACCAAGTGCATTCGTTTGGGGTGTCTTGGGGCTTTTCGTAAATTATGTGACAGCTACGCCAAAAGCAAACAAAACGAAACCAAAATAAACCAACCAACCAACAAACAAACAAACAATTAGTTTTGCCACCAGAGAAGAATCAAGAATGGGAGCAGACATGGAGATGGGAGATGATGACGACGATGATGATGAGAGTGGAGAACTGGTAGCACAGCAAAAGATCTAGAATAAATGCAGACTATGGCGAAGTTTCTTTTATTAATAGGAAATGGTGAAAGTTCCCTCTCAATTGGAAATCTAATTCATGATCGGAACATTTAATTTCATTTTACTTGCTGTTGCTTTTTGGGGGCGAAACAAGTGCCAAATAAGTGGCATCTGCACTTATGTTTTGGCAATAAAATGCAAATGGTAAAACGGGCCATAAAAAGGCCAAGTCCAAAGACCATTTTCAGCATTCGATATGCTTATGCTGCTGCTGTGCTCTGCTCCAAAAGATTTTATGCGCCGCCGCCCCAGGAATCATTTCAATTTTCATCTTTTCCTTTTGTATTTTCGAACTGCTGTTGCACATTTACTATGCTGTTTGGGGCATGCAACAGCAGCAGCAGCAGCAGCAGCTAAAAACTGTAAAGTCCATAAAATGCTTTTGCCGCACATCACAAAGGGATTTATGCATGTGCGTGTGTACAGTATGTTTCATAGGTGTAAGTGCACGTGTGTCTGTGTTGAATATTTTACGTTTCTGAAAATTTGATGAATCTCCACAAATGCACAGGGAAAAGCAGAGACAGAGACAGAACCAGAACTGGAGAGGGGAGCAGCACTCAAAGCAACTTCATCGCACGGGGAAAATGTCCATCAACACTTTTATTTTATGGCGCTCGCTCTCTTTCTCTCTCAGTTGCTGTCCCTTTCGTTTCGTATGGGACTGTCTCATTCGCTCATGTTTGCTGGCACACATCCGTCTGTGCGTCTCTCCGTATGTCTATCAATTTGTTGTTTGGCCCAACAGCAACTCTTCACATTTTGTTTTGCTTTGTGGCCATTTTAATAGCTTTCCTTTACTTTGTATCTTCCAGATACAAATCTATCTATAGAATGTGTGTAGTATATTTAGCTGGCGGCTACGATTTGTGAAATTAAAGTGCACACAGCTCCAAAGAGACTCCAACCTCATGTCTGGCCAAATTTTCCTGCCCCTGCCACTGCCACTGCCCCTGCTGCTAATTGTCTCTTCCATTTGTGCCCTGTAAACGTTTTGTCAAAAGGATTAACTTGGAGTTATACCCGCCCCCCACTCCGCCCCCGTCCCACTCCCTACCTTTTAGAGCTTTGGGGCTATTACGCAGGTCTCCGGGCGTGTAATACGCAATGTTTTCAATGGCTAAGGCGACACACATTATCCAAACTTGAAATGGGCAAAGCGCCAAAGGTGTGGCGTCGGCGGGGGAGGGGAGGGCACTAATGCGCTTTGCACTGCACTTGCCTCAACGACATTCGTATGTGATAACAATGCAAAGCTTACAAGACGACTTACATGAGATTAAAGTTGCACTCGAAGAACTTAATACTGCAGTTCCAAGAGCTACGCCACAGCGATAGGTATACGTATTCGATGGGGCAGATCATTGGAACGACACATGTCAAGTGGTAACAATATATCTTGTGGAATATTTGAGGAATTCCAAGACATTAATCGCCAGCCAAAGATGTTCCCACACTCCGTTCCCATGATCGTCTATCCCCAGGGCCACCCAGATGGACTCGTAAATCGTAATCCCCTGACTCGTTTCCGTCAATCGACAAATGATAATTTAATCAAATCCGAAACTACGTCAAATAACGAAATAAAACAGCGGGAGCTAAATAGATACAACAAATTGGCCAGGCCAGGCCAGGCGAGCCGCCATTCCGATCGGTGGCGGAGCTGGAGGTGAAGATCCAAACAAATGTTTGCAAAAGCAAACAACTTGTAAACAATTTAAACATTCAATTAATTAATTAATGGCGAAATGTGGCAAATCGGAGCTAAATATTATTACCAGACGTTTGAGTGGCGAAAGTTTAAATCAAAATCGGAGGGAAACAGAGGCAGGCCAGATCCAGAGGTGCATGAGGAGATACTACTGAGAGGTAGATGGGGAGATTCAAGACACAAGACGGAGAGGGGCCCCGAGGCGAAGACGGAGACGGAAATAGTCGGCAGAGAGAGAGAGGGAGAGAGAGAGAGCGAGCGAGCGAGCGAGAGATATGCTGAGCTCGTTACTCATACGCCAATTTACGATGCACTTAAACTTTATGAGAATTTAAGATTTCCTGCAAATCAACGGAGGAGAGTGGCGCACCAGAGGGGCAGCACACCAACCAGAGTGATAACCGAAGCTGGACAGGAAATGTGAGGTGCAGCCGCGTCGGCATTTTACACACACACAAGAAGAAACCTCATAATAAGCTCTGAAATGGAATAGAAATAGAAACGAATAATTTCCACTGAAATGAAACCAAACCAAACCAATTCAAATGAAAAGAAAATTTTCGGCTATTCCCAGAAGACTGCGCTGATAAGAATGTTGCAACTAAAAAGTCAAATAAGAGAGCTTTGGGTGCGTTTTTTATCTCTGAGTGAGAAATGAACGTTAAATGCAGTAAAATGCTGTGTTGTAATCCATGCTATTAGCACAGAAGAGAAATGGAATATATATACATAGTATATATCAGGGACCGTAAATAATGATTATTATTTTTTTGTTGAATAAAAAATCACATGCTTTTAATTTATGATTATTTACTTTTTTCTTCAATGATAATAATTATTTTTGAGTAACTTAATAAACTTTACACATAATCATTATTTTTGATAAAAAAAAATTAAACTTAAAAATAATGATTATAAATGTTTTTTATTTTTTTCGCTCAAAATAAAACTCAACAGCAAGTACCGGTCTCTGCGTTTGACTTTTCACTAATATTATTTCATATCTTTGTAAAGGGAACACAAAGCAATCCCCGCGCTTAAATGCTCCCATAAATTCCCATAATTATAAGCTAAATCTTTTTAAATTGCTCATTTCTAACCATACTATTTACTATTTACCTTTCTTGCAGCGAACACTTCATTTCGGAGCACACGGTTATGGCTGTCTTCACCTCGCAGGGACAAGTGGGTGGACCCTGTCGGTATATGCCGGCGACCAGGCGGCAGAACCACCAGTGCCGCAAGGAGTCGGGTCTGCCGGGTACCCTCAGCGAGGCGCGTCGGTTGGCCACCACCCACTGCGAGGATCAGTTCCGCTACGATCGCTGGAACTGCTCGATTGAGACGCGCGGCAAGCGCAACATCTTCAAGAAGCTGTACAAGGAGACGGCTTTCGTGCATGCCCTGACAGCGGCTGCCATGACGCACTCCATAGCCAGGGCCTGCGCCGAGGGCAGGATGACCAAGTGCAGCTGTGGACCGCGCAAGCAGAACCGGGTGGACCAGGACTTTCAGTGGGGCGGCTGCAACGACAATTTAAAGCATGGCAAGCGGGTGACGCGGAGTTTCCTCGATTTGCGTGGAGGCGATGGAGACGAAGTCAGTGAGATATTGCGACATGACTCTGAGGTAAGCATCTATAACGAAACCATCCCAATTGAATCCAATTAAAGGTGGGATTTTTTTACTTGAAAAGGTTGGCATCGAAGCCGTCTCCTCGCTGATGAAGGACAAATGCAAATGCCATGGCGTCTCCGGCTCCTGTTCGATGAAGACCTGCTGGAAGAAGATGGCCGATTTCAATGCCACGGCCACGCTGCTGCGACAGAAGTACAACCAGGCCATACGAAAGGCCCCCAATCAGCGGACCAAGCGCCAGATGCCATCGAGTCGCATGAAAAAGCCCAAGCAGCGACGCAAGAAAGTGAGTTTCGTTCCCCACTGGGGAACGCTTTTAGCTACCACAACTTCATCTATGTGTAACTCATGCAGCCCTCTTTTTTGTATGCCACGCAGCCACAGCAATCGCAATATACCACACTGTACTATCTGGAGACCTCGCCCACCTACTGCTCGGTCACCAAGGATCGCCAGTGTCTGCATCCCGAGAACTGTTCGAATCTGTGCTGCGGCAGGGGCTACACCACGCAGGTCTTCAAGCAGGTGGAGAAGTGTCGCTGCCGGTTCAACAATGGCCGCTGCTGCCAGCTCATCTGCGACTATTGCCAGCGCTACGAGGATAAATACTTTTGTAAATAGGCACGCTATACCTCCCCTCTGACTCTGACTCTGCCTCGGCCTCTGCCAATGCCTCTTTTGCTATCCCATCCAACTGTCTGTCTCTCCTCTCTATCCCCTTTCCCTTTGTGCTTTTTGAAAATGTAATTTGTAAAGTTTATTTCCATCGTTGCTTGTAATTTTTTTCCATTCCTAACTAAGAAAACATGAAAATAAGCAAATATTAATGAAATGATAAGCAAAATGAACGAAAATGATATGTAAAACGCGTGTAAAACGCACCAAAAAGTAGGCTCAAGGCCAAACTCATCCAAAACACCCACACCCAAACACACACACCCCCAACTCACACACACATACCCATGCAAATACATACTCACATACATGCATACATACATCTATCTCTATATATATAAAAGCCCCTATATAGTAAAAAAAAAAGTAAAAGTTAGCTACCGTCGCAAAAGAAAAATCTCAAAAAAATGGCAAAAACTTCATTTTAGCAAAAAAGAAAATCCAAAAAAAATACCACACACACACACACACACATACTGACACACAAAGAACAACAAAAAACAATGCAGAAGCTAACAAACAAACAAACACACACACACACACTGCAACAAAAAACGAGAGATGAAAAAAAAAAAACAAAAAACCATTTTAATAAGTATTTAAACATACAAAACAAACCAAAAAAAAAATCACAAAAATGAAATGAAATAAAAAGTTTCACATAAAAATAAAATTAAAAAAAAAACAAACTATGCTCTGATCTGGTCTGATCCAGGATATTATTCCAATCATTTGCAGCCTGGGAGATGGGCCCACAATTAGCATCTTATCCTGAGTTCCATGGCAGCCCTTGTACGTTAATAAACGCCTTTGAGCATATGTTCCTTGTCCTCTTCGTACGAAGCTTACATCGATCAGCATTTCCAGGTCCTACACAGTTCGGTCATAGGCCCCCAAGGAGGTAGAGATTCACAGTCTGTATATGTTGGGGTTCACAATAGGGGTGCGTGACTATTGCATAGTATTCTGCTTGGACACGCCGATCTTGAGGGTGTGCACGAAATGGCGCACATGAAATCCGAAAGGAGCCAAGGAGCTTCGTAATAAACGTTTAATTCAAGGTTATTACAGCACGGATAAGGGGAGAATGGACTGAGTTCCTTAAAGTTTCATCATTTAAACATCGCGCCTACTTTTGTACTGAATCGGTTACGGCTATCGAGTACTGTAATGATATCGATATCTGGGTGTTGCGGAGCAATGTTGCTAATTTGGGAATTTCATATATGTTGCGAAGACTATGTAGCTAAGAATGCTTAGGTACAATGTAGCGAATTTGGGAATTTGAGGTTCCATTTACTGCCGTTTTGTAGTGGCGTCATTTTAATTTTAAATTTTATTTATTTACTTAAATTTGATTCGACCGATCTTAGCCATGGGTAAATATACATATATGTATATAGATGGCACTACATAATTATCTATTTTTGGGCATTATGACGCAACTATGATAGCAACTGAAGGACGAAATTCTGGATATATATGCTTATTTCTATATATAGAAATTTGCACAGATTGCAGAAACTCCCAAATAAATAGTCAGAAAAAATATCAAAGCACTTAATTAATTTGTAAAAATTCATTTAAAATTGATACGAGTGTGAGTCATTTTGGGTTCCATGAAAAGTCCAGAGGTTCGATTTCATTAGACGACTACCAAGAAACAGAGCAAAGAAAGATATGCACGCATGCACACACATTTGGGCAATTAACGTATTTGTGTCATAAAAAAAATGCCGATACATCACATTATTTTAAACAGTCAAGTCAATGACAAAATGGCAAACTCTTATCAACTTTGGACGGGTTACATTGATCGCACACATCAGTGTCACCAGGGCCCAACCTGAGTCCGTTTCAACAGCCTCAAACTCGACAGAACTCGAAAAAGAAGTCCCATGCCACAGCCAACCGCCGCACATAGCGATAAGTGGTGTTAGGTAACTGGTTTATATCAGTCGTCGCCAAATTGAATGCTCACGATGTCCACGCGACATAACTTAACGCGGAAGACGGTGGACAGACACCGAGCCCTAACCCCGTGCCCAGACCTCAGACCCCCAGGATAAGTCCACACCGAGCTCCAACCAGAACATTTCCCCATAAATTAACTTGTATATTTTTCATTTCGTGTTCCATTATTTGCCTGGAAGTCTCGCCATCTGTCATGCCCCGCCCTGCCGCTTAGCCACTGTGACATTGATATGCTTCTGTCAACATGGTTCGTGTTGTGAGCCCAAAAACTGTTGCATGCTCAGTCATGACAACGACACCAAGCAAAAGGACAATCTTCTTTAAGACACATTTCTGGGTTCCTTTTCCTAAAGGTTTCTATTGAATAATCATTTCAAGAACAATATTTGGCATGTAAATTCGTTTTTTGGCTGCCATTTGATTTGAAAATGTTTCGCTGAGGGGCAAATATTGAATGACAAAGAGAGAGGGCAAGCAAGCATTTTCCTCTTGCCTCAAGCGGTTACATCGTTTTACATTGAGCAGCTGGAAAATCGGTTGGAATGAAAAATTACAAGCGAATTCCATTTGTTAATGACAAGTCAAGTCAAGTCTAGGCCTCAAGCTGATTCCCTCCACATGGATTCGTTTTCCTCTAAGCTCTGACATTTGGGAATGTGACAGGGAACATCCAGTGAGAGATTTTTAGCATGAATATCAAATGTATACCATGGGAAATATTTTGGATGCATTTGAATGTATGTACAATATGATGTAGGAAAAGAATATCTGATAGGCAGCACTCGGGCCAATCTCCGATTCCTTCTCCGAGTTGTTTTACATCGAAAAGCGAAAGTTAAGAAATCAGCTCGGTTCGTGTTTTTATCCTAACTTTCTCCCCCAAAAATATTTCCCCAGCAAACAGTCACGAACTATTGAAAATGTAACCTAATACGAGTACTCCAAGCCGAAAAACAGGCAACGCTATAACTTAGTGACAAGATACTGGGCCATAGCTTGCCTTACATTATTTCTTTGGTATGTTCTATGCCATCATAGAGGCGAGGCCCCTTCGAACAGTCACCGACTGCTTTTCAAATTGAACAGATGTTTCCCCTGGAACACCGCGAAAATAAACTGAAGCCAAAGCGTGAAAAACCACAACAATTCTATGGGTATTAATTACTTAGTCAGAGACCCCATGGGACCAAAAGATGTACCCCCCTACCTCTCTATATCTCCCTACTGCTGCCACTAAACTCCTTTCGAATGGGATGATAAAAGTAATTAACATAAAACGGAAACAAGGCAAACGAGATGTTGAATCAAATGGAAATAGTAGTAACAAATTAAATAAAAAGCGAATACAATGCGAGAACAAGTGCAGAAAATAAACGAGAAAAACGACTGTGGCATGCCCTGTAAAAAGATACACATTAAATCCTCGCCTCTAGCCATATACACCCTCTTTTAGCTGTCACCTGTAGGGTAGGGTACGCCTAGGCGCCAACAAAAAGGTAAAACGGAAACTCAAAATTAATGCTGATCTCAGCAGAAGTCACGTACTGAACGAAAGTGAAAACAAATCAAGACAAGATAGAAATCCGGACCGAGAGCGCCAGACAGACCCACCTGTTCGTTCGTTCGTTCGTTCGGTCGTTCTAATGAGAAAGCTGATCACAAAATGATGAGCTCTTTACAGATGGCAGGGGGAAAGGGTGGCAGTGGGTGGCTTACAGATGGGCCAGAACGATGTCTCAATTGGCAGAAAGTGAAAGCAAAGCGTTCTGTATCGGCCAGATACGTGTGTCGGCGACCATTTGACATTCGACACTCGCAAATGGTCAACAAAAGCCAAATGTCGATCGAGTTGGAGCAACACTTCCATGGAAACTCTCCAGCAACGATCATGATGATGATGCTGTCGCTATTGCTGTTGCTTTCTGGATCTGCGGTCTTAAGGTGAGCTGTCATATATGCATCCATTGGGATCCAAAGAAATTAACTCAAATGTTCACTTAGTTCCCCCCTGGACCCAGAAGATATGGAACTGCTGGAGATGATGCTCCGGGATGGGGATGGATACCCGAATGCAGGACGCATGCTGAGGGACATCTCCGTGCTGCCGGCCTCATCGATTGGCTGCGATGAGAACGGTTCCGAGGAGGACTTTACAATCTACGGCGATGTCGAGGAGAGCGCAGAGTGTGAGGACTTTCTGCCGCCCTGTGAACCGGCAGTGGTGCAGGATTATTCCATAGATCATCCCTGCTTTCTGCGGCTTATCCTGCTGCGGACTCCACTCCTGAAGCATGACCCATGCGCCAACTTCACACTGGCGCCAGAGATCCCGAAATCGTCTGAGAAGCGAAAGCCCAAGAAGAAGTGCGATCCCAAGTCAAAGGCAAGCAAATCCAGGACCCAGAATGAGGTGAAAGCGATGCCAAACACTGGCCCAAAGGAAGTGAAAGCAATGCCCAAAACTGAAAATAACGAGACAAAATTACTTGCCAACCCTGGCGAAAATGCAACCACAAACACCGATTCAAACTCCACAGTAAGTGCAACTGCCACAACAGAGGCTACAGTTGGTAGCTCCACTGAAAGAAAAAGAGTGCCAAATCGAAGGAACAGAAAGCAAACCACTCCCAGAACCACAACGACAACAACAACAAGCACAACCGGAGCCACGACCACAGAGGAGGCCATCACAACGGAGGATACAACGACAGAGATCAGCAGCACCAGCACCGTAGGAGAAGAAGAACAAAGCACCACAACGGAGCAGGAGACAACGACAACGACAGCAGCAACGACAACAACGACAGCACCCACCAGAAGAGCCACCAGAAGAGCCACCAGAAGAACCACCAGAAAGAAAGGAGCCACTCCCCGCACCACCAGAGCAATTCCACTCAACGAGAATCCCAACCTGAAATCCGGTTACGCACTAGAGTTTAAAAAGCGACACCACACAGTCACTCCTCAAGAAACCAATTCTCAAATGCCAACTAACAAGAATGGCAGCAACTCGAAGACCATTCAAATTAAATTCAAAGCAAATGGCAACGCCAGAGTTCCCGACACACCCAAAATCAAGATCGATAGCCAGCCCAGCGAGGTCATCCACGTGGTTCTAAACAAAACTGTGGGTGAAATGAGGCAACTGCCGGCGGAAGACAATTCCACACCCATTACGACGACGACGACGACCACAACATCCGAGCCGGAAACGACAACTGAAGAGAGCTGCGAAGAAGATATGGAAACCACCAACGAAGCTGAATCTGAAGCTGAAGCTGAAAATGACACAGATGCAGAAGAGTATTTCCCAGAAACCGAAGAGGAAACAGAAGAAGGTAAAATGTTGCAGCAGTGGCAGAGAAGGCTAAACCACTGTTCAGATCTCTTTGTTTCAGCATCAGACATGGATGGAGCCCAGTCAACCTCGACCACAGAGGAGCCCTGTGTGGACACCGATGACCAGGACACAAATCTCTGTCCGCAGTTTATGCCAGCCTACGGCAGCTGTAAGTATAATCATTCCATCGAATGGAAGCCCTCTTCCCTCTTATCATTTGGCTTCGATTCACAGCAAACTCCAGGCCGCCAGCAGGACCACGATTCCGAAAGCCCGTGAAGAACTATGTGGAGCCCATTCTATACGAGGGCTCGTTTGCCAAACCGCGCCAGAGGATCGGATTAACGCAGCCCCAGCCGCAGCGTCGGGACTACTTTGTGACCAACAAGCAGATTGTGCCCCGACCCAGGCCCAAGTACAGGCAGCGTCTGCCCCACTCGATCTACATGAATAACATTATAAGGGGTGTGGACTGCGTGGACGATGTGACTGCGAGTCCCCCCTATCCACAGGTGGGCCCCTATCCACCGGTTAATCTGTATCAGGCCGTTGGACCCGCCCAACCAGCCCAGGGGCAGCGCAATTGGCCAGCGAGACGTCTGACAGGAGGATATGGCTCTGTCCAGAGATCAACTGGCTATGGTCCGGCACCAGCGCCAGTTCAACGTATCCGCTCCTCTGCGACGCCTCGATATCCGGGATGCTCAGAGGAAGAGCAGCAGCAGCAGCAGCACCAACACCAACACATCAATGACAGGGAGAGCAATGAGGATCAGCACTACTTCGAGGAGGAGGCAGCCGCTCTGATGCGAGCCCCCAACCCCACTCCCAGCGTAGATCCCTGCCAGGCAGAGCACGACCACCCTCTGTACGGACAGCATCTCCAGCAGACAGACCCCGACGGCTATCCACAGTCGAAGAACTTCTTTACCTAAGTAAATCATAGGCCCAAGGGCTGTAGCTTTGTAGGCCACCACCAGCACCCAGTAACAGCGTTAACCACACAATAAATTAACACAAGTGCACCGAAACACACAGAGAGACATCAGTGAGTAGCTGGAGGAGACGGCAGGAAGGCCCATGGTAATTAGGGAACATCTTTGATCCGCATGCAAATTGGACAAATTGGACAAATGAGCTGGGGACGACGTCAGCAATTGAATTGCTTTATAAGCAGTGTGTGCCTCAGTTCGTTCAGGGACGGGGGCCAGTGCCATATGAATAGCCAGTTATCAGTCTCCACAGCCGGAGCTCAAGTTGGGGACAGAGGCACGCGCCCCTAATGAAAAACCCATGAGCTGCCAGGCCACCTGATGATGGCCCCCAATCGTAGGTGTGCAGCAAATGGAACTTTGCCTGCCCTACGCTGTCACACATGAGTGGAGCTTGAAGAGCAGGCTTTTAATAACATTAGGAGCACAGCATCCACTTGGTTACGTATGGAAAGTGTATTTACAGAAGGACTGAAAAGATATTTAATCCTTTTCTAGGCCATTCTTCACGCTTATTAATCCACGGAAAGGGAACACTTACACTGGATGTTTGTTGTTCTTGTTCAAGTTTTTGAATCCTCCCTCCTACACCCACCTTTATGACCCATAATCCTTCCTGTAGGTGAGCCCCTAAACATATGACTGAGGAATGTCTCTAGCGCAAAACAAAAATAAATAAAAAAGAATGCAAGTTCCCCCACTTAAAAATCAAAAGCGCGCGTAGGGGCCCAAAGGTGTTTCCCACCGGAGCGTACCAAAAAATAAAGCCGAAAACAAATTAGTTTGCTCCTAAGCCACCCCACTTTCCCACGCTCTCTCTCTCACCCACCGACTCGCTCTCGTACTCTTTGATTTGGGGGCTCCTGACATTGTAAATGTCACAGACAGGACAGCGCTGCGCGACGACGCCAAGAGAGCAGGGAACCGACAGAGTGTAGAAGCGCCAAAATACTTGGTAAAACAGAGAGCCGAAAGCGTGTTATGCCATACTGGAAGAGAGAGAAACCGCGCTGTATACGGTTGACGCGGGGGTGCAGGCGAGCCCATGGCAAACAATCCGAGAGGGTATGGGCATGTCACTCTTCAAGTGACCTAAGGTAGACTCTCTCTGCCCTGCTCTCTCTCCTTCGCTTATCTCTCATGCAAAGCTACCATTAGGTCGCCGTCAAAAGAGGCCTGCGGCTGAGTTTTTCCCACCCTATCAACTATACCATGGAGCCGAGACTTATTCGCCCTGCTGGCTGTCGCTGCACGACCGTGTACTGAATTGTAGGTTCTCCTTTCTCGAGTGCGGACGTGTTTTCCTATTCTGTTCTATTCGTGCGCTGCGCGGTGGCGGAGAGTCGAGGGAAAACTGCAAAAAAAAAAAAGGGAAAATCTGCTTCCGATGCGAAAAAGGGAAAACCTCAAATACGAAACCCAAGCCAATTAACCAAATCAATTTTTAAACAATCCCTAGGCAAACATAAGTGAGAATTAACTAAAGTGCATTTAACTATACCCCAAAGTAACCGCAAAACGAAAGTGTCCCCAAGTCTCCGATTTATATTTAGATAGAGTCCGGTGTTCGTACTCGTATAGCCCGTAGTTAATCAAAAATGTGCTTGTCGGCCGATGCTAATGAGTTGGCGGGGGCTCAGGTAAATGGAGCTAACTGATTGAGCAAAGAAAAAGGGTGTGAACGCAGCCGCCCCCAGCCATACAAATCGATAAAGAATTTAAAAATAAATATCCCAACGACACCCAACGCTCTATTGTTGCGCCGCAATCATAACGCGTAATCCATGCGATTCGGTAGCAGAAAACACACTGCCAAAGTAACCCCCAGAACCACCGACTAGAGGGCATCATCTACAGCTTTAGTCTAACCAAAAACCAAACTCAAGATAACCGAAAGCGAAACGTTAACGAGCATTTAAGAGGTCACTCAGAGGCAGCAAGAGTGGCAGTACAGCCACCAGTAACACACCACTAGCCAGTCGCAGTAACTGGGTCAGTAGGCAGACTGCCTGCCATCGAGGGCTTCCTCCTTGCATTCACCTTCTTTGCGCTTCCCAACGGTAAGTAACTGAATCCACACACTAAGATTCGTGGATAGAACTGTACTAGAAATGTACTCAGAGGCTCCCTGCTTTTCCCTCTTGTTGTCATAATTCGAATTCTGATCCAAAAGAAGTTGGGATATTGCCTGGGTATGTGGTGGGTGGTTCGTTAACTTTAACCTAACCATTTCTGGCTTGTGGCCAGGATACTTAAAGCAGGCCCAGCCTCCCTGGTTTGGCCAATTTGCTGCTGCCATTTTTGGAGAGCGTTGCCAAATTGCTTTGTGGGTAGGGTACAGGAAAAGCTGTCAAACAAATACTCGTATCGCCCACCTTAATCTTAATCTAACTTAACGAAAATCTACTTTAGGCATAGTTCTTTAGTACGTTCGAACTATGGGGTGTAATTGGAACAGATTTATCATACTCAAAATATGAAAAAATGTCAAAAGGTTTCATTTAATATAGGGTTTGTGCCCACAAGGAGAACACTGGCTACTTTCCTGGTACTAGCAGTTCAAATAGAACCCACTTAATAGATTCTTGAATAATTTATTGCCCTACATTGATTTTCTTTTTCAATATCCGGGTTATATGCCACCCCTCTTATGACGGACTGACTGACTGAATGTTTATTCAAGGCAATCGGCAGCCATTCGCTTAGCCCGCCAATAGACTCACTTCAGATGGTTCAAGCAAACACCTCCGATATCATATTCGTGTTATATGTAGGTTTCCGTTTAAGCACTTTTCGGCCTGGCCAACTAAACAAACAACTCACAGCCAAAGTTTAATCGCTGCCATCGGGGAATGGCATAAGCTAATGACCATTAGCAGGGCTCTCCACTGAAAGCCACCTGCACTACGTATACTGCTGACTATTCACACAACTATTTTACATAATAGACATGTGATGTGGTGTGGTGTGGTGTACGAAAACAAAAGCGAAACAAAACAGCGTACATGTTCCCAGCGATTACAAACAAAATGTGTCACTGCGTAGGTCGGGATTGGGGAGGAGCACAAAACCGTAAAATAAAAGTCAGCACCAAATGCCGTTACATAATCGATGGATATTTTCACAGTGGAACGAACCTATATCAAACGCCCCCCAACATTGAGGGCAGCGCGAAGGCAGGAATCGATTGTATCGTTGGAGCCCAAAGAGGCTGCTGCCATCTAATCCAATTCATTCCAGATGTAAGCAATCTTAAGCCTTAAGTCGGATCCCCGGGTGGAGGTCTAAGGAGGTCGCTTTGTAATTAGCTTGGATGGTAATGCATACTGAAACCTAAAGCTGAGTGGGGCTGAGGGTAATTAAAATTTTGGTCCCAGGTACGCGAATGTCAAGTGGCAGCGTGAGTCCTTCTAAGTACATGCATATATCCAGCTGATGACTAAATGAAAATATGGTATTTCCAGTAAGAGGAAATTTGAGTATGATTGGAAACAGAGCAAAAGAAAACCTGTTCATTGGAAATAGCTAAAGTACATTACAGATACCTATGCTAGACGGAAAAATGTGCATCAAAGTACTGGGGGCATATTTAACGATTGTTTTACTACCAAGTTTTAATGAAATTCTCTGTAACAACACCTGGTTAGGAAAAGTTTGCGTAGTGAAAATCAAGACTCAACCCGGTTACAACTTTGGGCTTTGATGGCGCACTAATTAGATGGCAGGAACATTTAGAGACAAGTTGGACAATTAACTAAATGAAATTGAAAAACTTTCACTCATTGGTTATTTAATATCAGACCCAAACTGACGATTATCTGGAGTTCGGAAGTAGAAGTATTTTCGTTTAAATAAATAAGTGTTCAAACAGCTGATTCTTTGAAAATACAAGCAAATTCTTTAGAAGCACACATTTTGTGATGTAATCGATATCAATGGAAATATGGCAGTCACTCATGGCAGGTACAATATTTCCCGTATCCATCCATCCATCCATCATTCGATTGTACTTTTCATGCACATACTTATCTACATATGTACACATGTATGTATGTACATTTATTTACCTTTCTGATATGAATATGTTAATGAACTTCGATTGAATTGCCGCATGTCGCACGGACAAAAGGTAATTTCAGCAGGCGATTCAAATTATATTTGCATTTGTTTTTGGTACACTTGTTTTCCCCGAAATTCGCTTTCATTCAATAGAATGAAATTCTATAACGAAATCTGCATATTTCCAATGAATAGCTGGATGAAGCATCGCTAGAAATTTGATTAGAGAAACTCCATGCTTCAATCTTAATAAGGAGTGATATGCTTGATTTTCTTTAACCTTTCCGAGCAAATAGATTCGTGTCTCAGGCATAAATCCTTGACTATATTGGGACAGTGCCTGCTTTAATGACCCAGTGACGCCTGAGAGCTTCTGAGAGTTGCGTGACATACACACACACATACGTATATGATAGTCCCATCAAGGAACTAGATACTATGGCGCTCTGTTGTCATCCCATTTTGCGACACTTTCAACGCGACCTTACCCACAAAATGCAAAACACACAACCAACACGAGTGTCCCCTTCTAGACCATCTCAAAACCTCTCATATGACACTATTTAACCGCATCGGAGGCGGGAGCAGGAGAGAGGAGATGTGTTGGCGTATGAGGGATGACAAACAAAAATCAATAGCAACAACAATATTTTGTTTTCATTTACAACAAAATTGGAAAATTTCATTTACACTTGACAGAGGCACGAGTCCGTCCGTCCTTCCGTCCGTTTGTCCGTCCGGCCTCTTTCGCCACTACCCTACGACACACATTTTCCCTTCGCTACACATTTCCTCTTTCATGTCATTTTCCTCATGTAAGCTGTATGCACGTGGTTAGTTCGAAAACTGTTACAGTTCTCCTCATATCCGTTGTGCGCGAATTTCCAGCGAATTGAGGCCCAAATGAAATGCTGAAAAGTCAAGGGGAACGATTGGGGTAGCGAAAAAAAGTAGAGAAAATAAATGGAAGACTTTAATGGGTATAGGGAAGACTTTAATGGGAAGGATTACAATATAACCTAAGAATTGAAAGATATGTACTTTTCTTTGGGACTAAAACCTTTCAAATACTTTTTTCAATTCTGTATATTTTTTAAGATATACAAGATAAATCCGTGGGATATACACTTTACACTTTCAAACTTTAAAGCGTAACCAAATCTCAACAACAATTTTAGACGACAAAATAGAAACTAATGATAATTGTTACAGTCTGTCTTAAATAGTTTCTGCATTTCCCAGGAGCTAGAGACCGGCCATTAAATAATAGCTAATAAATACTCTAGTAGTAAAATAATATTTCATATTTATTTTTAAAATTAACAATATAGGGTTTACACCCGTGCGCAAATCCAAAATGCAACTGAAAAATCTGCTTATATTTTTTAAATCCCCCATACACCCGAGCACATTCCCCAAGCCACAGCAAATTGATTCGCAATGCAAAATTTACATACCATAAGCAAACCATTCGCCACCTGTGATTCTGAATATGAATGACATATTCAAAGAACTGTGGTCTCGGATGACATTCTTGGCTTGTTTGCGATACCCTAGACCACTGGAGTACACAGTAAAGATGCCAGTGGAAGAGGCATTAGCAAAGATCCATGGCATTCCCTGGCTTCTCTGATGGTGGCATCTTTAATGGTGCCCCCGATCGTCTCTAAAACTCTTCTAAATCTACTGCTGACGTCGTAGACTTTTCGATAGCTTTGACTCCTTACGCCACGACAGCGGGGACTAGCGGGAATTTGATAAAGAAATCTGAGCAAGATATCCAACATTTGAAGGTTTACTTTAAGCTAAACCCTAGATTTTAGATTAGATTATAAAGCTTTAACCAAACCCCATTCAATGGCAAACTGCTTAGTTTTCTCTGCAAAAACTAAATCAAGGTTTTCGCATTAGTGTAATTGAATTCAATATCAGAACTGCCATCTCTGGAAGGACAAGCACCGTTCAGAATTAATTGAATTTGCACTCTAGCAAAAACCAAAATAAAATTTGCATGGAAAGCTGCTGCTGCCCTTCTTGCACCGGAAAATCGTCACATATTGAGTTGGTGCTGTGCGACGAAAGCGAATTTCCACACAGAATTAAATTGACATGGCCAACAGGCCCTCCCTCTTTATATCTGTCTCTGGAGCCACAGTTTCAGCCAGGAGGCACCTCCTCCTTCCGCCCTTATCCCGCCCTCATCAAACATGCAACGTGCTCATAATAGAATGATAACATGAAATGCCGCAAATTCCAATCGTGTTAAGCACCCGAGAATTCCAAAGAGCAGCTCCCGAAGAGAATTTGCTCTTCATTTAAATGAGTGCAGCAGCTAAGAGAGCCAAAGAGTGCACTCGAGATGCAGCTCCACAGAACCACACAGCCGAAAGAGAGAGAAATAGAGCTCCAAACTTTTGTGGGAACTGCCGGCCGGATTAGTCTGCGGCGCGACTCAAACCGTGGAGGATATCAGAACCGGGAAACGGCTCAGAGAAAATACGGATACTCGTATATATAGTCGGAAAATATATATATCCCTGAAAATACATATCTACAGAGAGTTTTGTGAAACCGAAAAGTTAATTGTGATTTATTTGGTGACCAATGATAGTCGCCTGCCAGCCTGCTTCAAACCGCTCTCAAAAGGCCCTCCTGCCTTGACTCTGGTGTCATTAACCCACGCCCCGCCGTCCAAATTCGTCTTTGTTAACCCACCCACACCCAACATCAAAGCAGAAACAAAGAAGTTAGACACTTTTTTGGCAACCAATACCATTTGCACCACCCCTTTTTTTCCTGTGGAGAAAACTGGTATCCAGCCACAGGATGCCACAGCAGGCGCATCTGAAACACATCCACGGACATGGCCGATTGCCCAGAGTCATAGCCACAGATAGCAGCAGGTAAAATGCACAACTTCCTGTTTCCAAATTATATTTTATATCAAGGAAATTGAATTGATACTCAAATACCAGGGGGGGAGTCAAAAGTGTGGGTGTAG